CACTGGCCACTGTGCAGGTCACCTCCAGTTATGGCTTCGGCCAGGGCTTCTGCCTCCGTCTGGGGGGCCCTCTCTGGAGGGGCACTGCATTCTCTCACTGGCCAAGGAGGAGGCTCAGGAGGACTGCTCAGAGTGAGGGACATGGGCTGATTCTGGGCTCTGTCGCCTCATTATAACACACCTGCCCAGAACCTCTCTATGAATTGGCTGGACCGAGCCATTCCAATCTTCATCCGCAAGCCACACATCTCTTTAGCTGTTTCTCAACACGACAAAAGGCAACAGACTGGAAATAACAGACTCTCCCTGTGGGTGAACACTGAGGTGCCAAACCTTCTATCCCAGAGAAGGGGCACGGTGAGCCCTGCCCCACCCAGTCCTCTTGGGCCTTTTAAAAGCTCCCATCTCCTTAGAACATGCTTAGAGGCAGAGGCTGAGAAGTCTGTCTCAAACCGAGGTACATCACTGTGCCTCAGGATGATGTCAGCTTTTAATTTGTGGAGAAGTTGCTGAGATGACAGGAATTGGAAAGAATGTTTCCTTCCTTCTTCTCCAAGGAAACCAACCCTCCAGTTTCCATTCAGTTAACAGCTGTAGAATCCTCGGGTTGGATTCTTCGTGCACACGGGGCGCCGGCCTCCCGGCTCTGCAAAGGTACACAGTGCAGAGTGATGGCAGGGATGCAATCGTGAGATCCTAAGTCCCCGCTGCATTTGAGCTCGATGGATACAGCAGGAAGTGCTGTTCAAAAATACCTCCCTACACAGGCCATCAGTGTGAATTCATTTAAAAGCAGGTTTTTTAAGTGCCAGTTAGGATGATTAAACATCAGTTATTCTTAGCCGAGTAGAGAATATTTTTATTAGCCTGCCATCCCTCTGATTTAGACCATGGGAGCAGAGGAATAAAGTTTCAGCAGTGGGAGAGGAGGCCGATTTTGCCACAGAGCCACACAGAGAAGGACAGGCCTTGATGGACAATGAAAAGACAGCCCTGGGTGCCTGGGAAATAGAATAGTGGGGGATTCCAGAAAATTGGGGGAAGGGTCAAGAAAGAGGAAAAATATCCTCATCCATTTGGGCTGCTGTACAAATGGCCATAGACTGGGTGGCTCAAACAATAAACATTTATTTCTCACAGTTCTGGAGACTGAAAGTCCAAGATGGAGCCACCGGCAGGCTTGGTGTTTGCTGAGCCCGGTCTCCAGTTCCCATGCGGCCACCTTCCTGCTGTGTCACCACGTGGCAGGGAGAGCCCGCTGGCTGTCCCCGCTTTTGAGAAGGCACTGATCCCCTTCTCAAGGGCTCCACCTTCATGACCCCATCACCTCCCTGAGGCCCCGCCTCGGAACACCATCACACTGGGGCTTAGGATTTCAAGAAAGGAGTCTGGAAAGACACAGACATGCAGTCCATAACAGACGGAGGGCTCCAAAGATACCCTTTATCTACTTCACAGCTTTGCCCGGGGCTGTGATGCCATCACACACCATTGGAAATTGTCAAGAGTGACAGCATATGAATTTGGGGAATTCAGTGCAATAAAAATCATAGGGCACTTTTCACTATAATACTTTCCCAAGAAGCCGACCTATCTTTTGCTGGGAAAGGATCTCAAGAACACAAAATGCAATTTAGTTACAAGTTGGAGCCAGTGCTCTGTTTTCGTTAACAATGGATCCTTGACGGGTGAGACCAAATCCACAAAGATTTCCCAAGGTATTGGCAGCCCCTAATTAAAATGATGGTGGAGGCGCTCAGCACCTGCTAACATCATACCTGTAAAGACACTGCAGATCTTATTATTTATAAATTCATTTTAAGACTCACTAGTTCCTAATTTAGTTTTCTATTTGAAAAAGTGCTGAGTGCCAGAACAGGATCATGACCTTCTATTTTGTAACCATATCTTGTGATAGAATGTTACTTGTTTATAAAGGGCCTCCAATTTCACTTTGAGTTATTTTTGACATATAGGGCCGCAGGAGAAGAATGTCTTAATTTAATTTTCTTTTATATGTTAATTCTGTAATTGCTTCCCAACCACATGTTCAGTGGGGTGAGGGACATGAAGTACTTGCTGGGGGTGCTGGCAGGGAAGGACATTTTGTAAGCATTTTTAGGCATTGATGGGTATACACGGAACATTTTATTGCCGACAGGTTATTTAAGACTGTGCAATTAAAAAGTAATTAGGGTAACTAAAGCTTTGAGGGTTTTAGATCTATGACAACTGCAAGAAACATAAATGGAATATTATGAGATGAGAAGTGATTGCACTATTATGTGAAATTTTTTGCTTTTTAAATACATCTACGTATCAAGGAAGTTTCTAGCAGGTTTGCAGCCAAGATGATGCTCCTTGGTTATTTTGTGCTTCAGGATAATAGTACTTAAACCTTTCTTCACTGACCTCCCACCAGTTATTCCCAGAGGCAGGTTGGGATGAGGGGGCTGGCAGGGAGAGGGCATGAAGAAGCGCTGGAGAGGAAAACATAAAATCATATCAAGCCCATGAGAGAGGGGTGGGGATGGAGGTTTTGCAGTGTTTGAAAGAGCCTGAACACTGCAGACAACCCCAGATTTCAGTCCTACTCCACCACCTGCCCCTCAGAGGCGCTTACAACTGAGCACTAGTTTCCCCTTTAAAGGTGGTGGTGACGCCCTCCCATCCACTTCAATTACCCGCAGTGGATATAATTGGAGATGTGCTGCCACCACGGGTCCCTGCACCAAGCCAGGCACCCAAAGCTTGAATATTGCAGAGCGGTGTTTCCCTCTTTCCGCCCCTCTGCCTTAGCCTCCTTGGAGCCCTCAAGAGAGCAGCCGCCTGCTTCCTTCTGTCCTTGCTTTGCTCTGTGGGAGGCGGAGCAGGACACAGGGTGGCAAGCAGCAAGGCAGGGAGGGATGCGGAGCGCCTCCCTGGGGCAGAGCTCCTGCCAGGATGCAGAAGGTAGCAGGAGACCCTTTCCAGACAGAGTTAGCAGGGGGCAGCACTGCCTATCTACAGGTGTGAGTGAGGAAGGGAAGCTGTAAAATGCTTAGTAATTCCTATTTCTTGGAAGGGTCTGCCACCCACACTGCTTGTGTACCCAGGACCTGGTGAGAACAGCTGCTCCAGGACACGACTCCTTCAGGTTGTTTTTAATTAAATGGAAACATTTCTTCCAGACCTGGTGTACGATTGCCGATAGCGTGTTGGATCACTTTGAGCGTTGCTGATCTAGAACATGCTAGAAAGGGGGAAACCCAACTGCTTCCCAGGGTGGTTCTAAAATAGGCTGGTTTGCAAAGGAAAACAATGGTCATTTATGTAATTTCTTCCAGAACATAATCGCTGAGCATGAAATTCGTAATATCTCCTGTGCCGCCCAGGACCCAGAAGACCTCTCAACATTTGCTTATATCACAAAAGATCTGAAGTCCAATCACCACTACTGTCACGTGTTTACTGCCTTCGATGTGGTGAGTAACTGTCCTCTCTGGACAGACTAAACATTTGTCCAAACATACCTGCATTTTACTGAGGGCCCAGCGTGCAATTAAGACACTTGGCTTGTTCACCAAGTATTGAAGTATATCTAGAGTAAAGCATTTTGCACACTCACCTTTTCTTAGCTTTTTCTGTATTTCATTCATCCATTGAATTTAGAACTCCACTTCTATCTAGTATCTGAACTGCCACTGCTCAACTTCTAAAGTCACACTTCAGATTTGATGGATTCCTTTCTTTCTCTGGTACCAAAATATAGTAAAATGTCTTCCAGCCTCCTTAATCCTTCATCGTCTTTGTTGGTTTCTCTGGTAGCCATTTCTAAGCAATAGGGCATAATAGTCTAGGATCGTTTGGAAGAAAAGTTAATTTCAGTGACTCATGCAATATTTGTAGTTTTCTATACCAACTTGTAGTCAAATTAGACACCTGCAAATAATAATAATAATTGGGAACACCAAGGTTTGGTCCATTTATTTATTTAGCAGTTAGTCTTGTAATGTCACTTGTGTGGTGTTAAGCAACTTTAGTCCTATTTGTCATTAAGCCTAAAAATTAGCCCCTCTGTTATAGACTTGGAAAATGAAAGCAATTCTAGAAAACAAGTGTTCCTTTTATGTTTTTTTAATGTATATATAAAAATGTATGAAATATATATTTATTTGTATGTATATTTGATGTGGTGAACAACTACATTCTTTGCACAGATTAAATATTTCCCCAAATGTACCTGGTTTTTATTGAGAGCCCAACTTGCAATTAAGACATTTGGCTTGTTTCATAAATTATTAAGGGTTACTTAGCCCAAGGCATTTTGCAGATTCTGTATAACCTCAACATGGTACAAATTGCTTGAGCCTATGTCTAATCTCTAATACAGTACATGAGGCATTCACATTTGATGCAGACAGAACAGATATGGCTGTAACCATGAGATAATTTCTACCCAGAGGAATAGTAAAATGTCACTTTAATATGACAGCTTTGACCGGCACAATGGATTTGAAACACACATTTTAAAAATTACACAGAAGTTGCAGTGTAATATATTCTTGGAAGGTCAGCCCACAGTTCAGCGTCCTTCTCAGTTCCGATAAACACCCATGGACCAAGGATCACCACTGACCAAAACACTCACCTTGCTAAGGCATGTGACGCTCATGCCCAGAGCATTTGTATCATGCTGCATGTGGCTCATCCCCTTCAGTGTGTGAAGATTGAAAACAGGAAAGAATATTCATGTGCCATTAAAAAACTCCCTCTCTTTTGGGAGGCAGGCAGACAATAATATAAAAGTGGTATGTGGTAACAGGAGGAACTGCAAAGTATAGCCCTCAAAGGCGGTGCTAAATATCTCTGGATGCATTTATTTGCATGGGATCCATGGTGTTGATGAAAATCATTTCAGCACTGGGTTTCTGGTGCCTTCAGCGTAACTTGTCATTCTTGTGAAATGCCATTGTTTCTGTAAACAGCAACATTCCATCCTGTCCACATGTATTGGTGTGTATGCAGCATCTCCCCTCTCCAGTTGGGTTGGTGTTGTAGAAAGAACAGTCAGACCAGAGTCTGCATCCCAACACAGCTACCTGTTTCCCGAGCATAGACTACTTATAGGACTTTTCTGAGTCCCAGTGTCCTTTGTCCATAAAACAGGTTGTACCCACTATGTTTCATCAGGATTGAAATGAAGGAACATAGGTACAGTGCCTGATAAATAACAACCACGTGATACAAGTCCATCCCCACCTCTTCTCTCTCCTTGCCTACTGACATTGCAATTGACAGCCTGGCCCTTTACTGCTAAAAGATACAAGATAAATTTACCAGACACGTATTTATGGTCCAAAGGTTTCCCACTATCCTTCTAAAAAATAGAGAGAGAGGCAATGAATAAGTAAAATAAAACAATAGGAAGAAATCTTTGGTTCTACAGGCCTTATATTGGTATATTGCCTCCGTCCAGTGTTTTCACCGATACCCATACATATCATGATGAATTCCAATCTTTCCTTGAAGATTGTGGCATTTCTTTCTATAGTAGTCTATAATTTGCTGTAATAAGAGTATCTAAAGCATTGTTCTATATTGGAACTAAAAATGATACCTATGGGCCATCTGCCCCCTTCAGTTTTTTAGCTACGTTTATGCAGTGCCTGAATACCAAGTATAAATTGTGGGGGAAAATAGTCAACTGTTGAGTTTTAGAATCAACAGCATGTCCCTGATGCATTTGGAGAACATGTAGAGAATTGCTTCACCTTTTGTCTTTTCATCCAGATCTTTGATTTAATGTAGACATTCACTAGCTTAGGATTCTGATATCAGCTCCAAAGAATTTTCATCATACACCACAAATCCAGCATTTTAATCCTCTCTAGGTGAAGTTTGTCTGACTTCAGAAATAGTAACAAAGGCCACCAACCTTGACCTGAGCCTTTGAGCAATTTTGAGATGCATCAAGCTTTGGCTGCACTGAAAAAAAAAAGCCTCTTTGAGCATGGATTTTGTACCATTATGTAGGGCAGTTCAATACTCCGTTCTGTCTCAGTGCCTTAAAAATCTGTTCATATGAGTCAGTCCCCTGGTCAAATGGCAAAAAAAAGAGAAGAAAAGAATACCTTAAGTATTCATTTAATAACTTAGCTGCTGTGTATGACTAAATACACATTTTTACTTGCAGACTTATTGCCACTTTGGCCTTATAGACCTTTTATGGGTCACAAAACACTTTTATGAGTATCTGTGTCATCAAGAAAATCCAGTGATGTCTAGGATACTTTCAGTTTCTGGAGAGTTAGATTTGAAATTAAGAGCATTTTCCCATAGAAACCCTGTGATCTTGGAAGGGGGCCCAAGCAGCCCTACACAGGATAGCCTGTGAGCTTAACAAAGTTCATTTATTATGGGACGTTGCTTTTAACATAGTCCCATTCACTATGGGACACTGCAGAACATGCTTTAGGAAGGGTTTACTTTGTGATCTCTAAGCCTGTTTTTCCATTACTTAGAATCTATGCTAAATTCTGCCTGTGATATTTTCAGTTTCAGATGACAAGCAGATGAAAATAAAAAGACAAGAGCAAAAAGTGAAACCAGAGTTCCCCAGGAAAAGGCCAGTATGTACCTACTGGCAGGCGCCAGACCCACTCTGCCTCCTAGACTCTCACTACTGGGGCAGCTGATTTTTATTCTCATTTCTAACCTGCTAGGCCAGGAACACATTCCACACATGACAGAACGAAAGGCTTTCCAAGCTCTGCCTTTCAGCCCTGAGAACATGGGGGAAGGGAGCAGTGGGACAGGGCAGAGAAGGCTGGTTATAAGACTGGGAGTCTCAGGGGGTTGAAAACACAGGTTCAGCTCTTCTCTCCTCCTCTTTTATCTCACGTGAGTGCAGGGAATTCCATGCTGCTAGGATTACGAGAGAGGGGCAGGAATTTCAGTGGCCACCAGACCCCAAGGCTGCTGCAATCATCCTTCGAAGGCCAGTATATGTAAGAGACAGATAGAACCATGGGAATTTGGAGACTGTCGTCTTCTACATGTTATTCACTCAGTGTACATTGCTGTGTTTAAAACTGAGGTAGGTAGATCAGAAAGATTTTGATGCATCCTCTGTGGGAATATTGCACTTAGTTTTAAAATCTGGGAAGGACCTCTTTCAGTAGTTTTAAAATATGAAAAGTTTTTTTTAATAGCATTAAAAGCCATGACTGCTGCTAGATCCTTGCTAATTCTCACTTTCTCTATAAAGAATATATTTGCAGTCTTTGATGTTTTTAAGGGAAAAAGGTACTCATTTTTCCCTTAAATGCAACTCCCAAATTCTGCCGGCTTCCGTGTTCAGCACGTGGTGTGTCTTAGACAAGCTCAGAGACGTGTAGTGAGCGTCTAGGTCGTGATGCTGGTGGGCGGTACGGCGGGAGTCAAATCTCCCTCTTTCTTGTGCTTTCTTGGCCGAGTGCAGACCATAGAGGATCCAAAGTGGGGAACCAGAAAGGACAAAATGCAGGAAAGCATGGTCACAGCGTCTCATAGGACTCTGCTATCACAATGCACCAGCAAGCCCAAGCTTAGAGGGGGAACACCAGAGGCAGCCACACTTCTGACTTCGGCTCTACTGCAAGTTTCTTTCTTGGTTTTCTCATCAGTTTAATGAAATCTAAAATTTCTGAGCCGTATATTTTTCTTCCCCATTTTTTTTTGAGATGTAATTGACATATACTCCTATGTTCTTTTAAAATAAACAACATAAGGATTTGACACATTTACGTATTGCAACATCACCACCATAACAAGTTTCACTAACCTCCACCACCTCACATAGGTATAATTTTTTTTCTGCCTTGTGATGAGAACTTCCAGGTCTACTCTCTTAGTGACTTTCAAATATACAATCTGGTATCATTAACGGCGGTCACCATGCTGTAGCTGACATCCCCTGGACTTACTGTCCCATAACTGGAAGTTTGACCTTTTTGACCCCCTCCACCCATTTCGACCTTTCTTAAACTCTGAGATTATCTCCATGGGGTAGTTTGAGGTTCTGATGAGAAGGATTTATGGCTTATGTTGCAGAGGTTGTCCCACAAAGTGACCCCCTGAAGGTGCAAAAGCACTTTCGTTGTTGATAGTAGTTGACCTCTGACAACTAAATTAAATACTGTATGTGGGGCTAGGTGGTCTCGTTCAATCTGTTTCTCGTTTTCTCCACCTGAAGATGGCCTTCAACCCTGTCTATGATATGAAAATACCTGGCAATGTAAGAAAATGTTAAAGAACATAGATCCTTTAAGATGGAACTGTAACACTTTCCCGGGCTGGTCTCCCACTTGTAAAGTAGCAACCAAGAGGCACATGGAAGCCATTCCTGGCCCTGCACAGCCCTCTGAGCCACATGCCCTCCAGGCGGGAGGGGTCCTGCTCCTGAGAGCAGCGAATGCCATGATTAGCACTCCCAGCCCTGTGG